CACCGGCGGGGGACGCGGCGGCGGCGGCGGCGCCCTTCTTGCCCTTCTTGCCCTTCTTGGTGGCGGGGAAGAAGTCCTCCTCGCGGTCCTTCTTGCTGAGGATCTTGGTGCCCTTGATGCCGGCGTCGTCGACCTTGCGGTCGGCCTGGGCGCCGAGGCCGCGATCGGCGAGCAGGGGCGCCTTCTCCTCCTGGGCGGCGGCGGGATCGAGGTAGCGCAGCAGGCCCTGGGCGCGGCGGATCTCCTCGAGGTAGGCCGGGTCGCTGGCCTCGGCGAGGAGACGCTCGGCGTCGGCCTTCTTGCGCTCGAGGTGGTAGCGCTCGTTCTCGGCCTGGCGGCGCTCGCGGGCCTTGTTGCGGGCCTCGCGCTCGTAGGCCTGGGCGGCCTTCTTCTGCTGCCAGTAGTCGTCCTTGATCTTGCGGATGACCTGGAACTTGTCCTGCTGCTCGGCCTGGAGCCTGGTGCGCTCGTCGCGCAGCGAGGACAGGCCCTTGTAGGCCTCGTCCGACTCGGCCTTGAGGGCGTCGAGCTCGGTCTGGATCTTGGTGTACTGGTCGCTCATGGCGCGGGCCTCGGGGTCGTCCATCGAGTCCTTGATCTCCTTGATCTTGGCCTTGAGATCGTCAATCTGCTTCTGGCCGTCCTCGAACTGGGAAAAGTTCTTGCGCGTCTTCTTGAGCGACGAGATCTCGGCGAGGGCCTTCTTCTCGTCGACAATCTTCATGGTGCCGGCGTTGACCTGGCTGTCGAGGTGGGCGATCTGGCGGTCCAGCTCGTCGACCGTCTTGAAGGCCACCTTGCCGCGGGCGAGCTTCTGCTCGTTGATGCGGCTGCGCATCTGCTCGTCGAGGCGCTTGATCTGGTCGAGCTTGGCGCCGCGGGCGTTCTTGCCGGCACCCTGCTTCTGGCGGATCTCGTTGGCCTGGGCGATGAGCTCCTGGCGGCGCTTCTGGGCGGGGCTCTGCTTCTCCTTGTCCTTGTTGGGCAGGGCGAGGTCAATCTTAGACTTGATGTTGGCCTGCATGTGCACTTTCTGTCAGCACTTTCCCGGCCTGTTTGTCCGTTTCGGAGAGAGAGAGAGAGAGACAGAGAGAGAGAAAGAAGACACGTACGAGCTTGTCCATGGAGGCCTTGTGGTCGGCCTCGGCCGCCTTCAGGTTCTTCTGGTACACGGCCTCATCGGGCAGCTGAGGACGACCAGTGGTGTCCTTGGTCTCAGCAGCGGGCGCGGGCGCCGTCTTCTTGGTGTCGGCCATTGTAGAGGGATGTTGGAGCACGAAAGACGAGTCAATTGGAGGGGAGGGGGAGTGAGGGGGGGTGGGCTGTCTGTGCAATTAAGCAAGCTGGCCGAACCGTCTCACAAATCTCGAGAGGGCAAGAAAAAAAAAGAGATTGTAAGGGTAGAGATGTGGAAGGAGGAGGTCACAAGCAGGGGGAGAAAGTTGTCTCGTCAGGTGAACGTGGACGTGGACGTGGTAGGATAAATTTCCAGGGTCCCCAGGATTTTGATGAAATTCACCCTTTTGGGCCAAGGTCAAGAAGCAGTAGCGGTGCCTCAGTGCCTCGTGGCACCTTTTCGTCTCCTATTCCTGCGAGCGCTGAGCACGCACCGGACACTCTGCTGGAGCTGGTGCTGCCAGTACCTACCTAGTCCAGTGCCCAGTGCTGCTTGTGCCTAGGTCCTAGGTCCTGGGCCTAGGTCCCAGGTCCTACCTAGTACGTAGGTAGGTACCTACCTACTGTTGGTTGATGGAAGGCCCCTCCATGGCCTGTGCGCCGTGTCGTTGGGTGGGGCACGAGAGCTTCCAGACCCCCCACCGATTTCCTTGACCGCTGGGCACGTGCGCTCGGTGAGAAGACGTTACATAATCGGAGCAACCTCGGATACATGCATGTCCGCGACCCGCTTTTGTCATTGTTCTTTCGTCTGAGCATGAACATGGAGGGACTGACGGGCCCTGGTTTTTTTTGGGCAAGGCTGAATGCGAATCTTGACGTTGCGAAGGTTGCGACACCAGCAGACACCCGTCACTCTCTGCATCTACCCTATCCCGTCACCACGACCACTTGTCAGCTGTCCCTCGCGCGCCCGACTTTTCCCTGATCAATTCCCTGCCCTCGAATCGCACAACTCAAAATGGAGGGCAACGACGGCCAGAGCAAGGAGGTGGTTCGCGCCTGGCGCGCCTGGAGGACGGTTCACGAGATGTGTGCCGATAGAGTATGGCCCCCGGTCCCGCGTTCTCTCAACGCTACGACCTCCATGTGCCTGCATGACGGTACTGACATGGCATGCCCAGGGCTACGAACTCGCCGAGTCAGAAATCCAGATATCTCTCGACCGCTTCCGCCACGAATATCTCGCCGCCGACGGCAGCGTCAAGTACGCCTTCCCTCCCCTCCCCTGCCCTTCCCTTCATACACCCCCGATTCTTTTCGCATGCACAGGAAGGAACAAGTGAAAGGAAAGCACGTGAACTGACACGCAGCCTTCCCCCCCAGCCGAAGCAAGCTCACCTTCTCCGCGCGCCCCTCGAGCGACATGCTCAGCCGCCACACGCCCGCCCCGTCCGCCGCCAACCCCAACCCGGACCCGGACTGCGGTCCCATCTACATCGAGTTCATCGCCGAGCAGGGCTCCCTCGGCGTGCAGCACCTGCGCCGCTTCGTCCAGCACGTGCTCGAGGGCCACTTCAAGGCCGGCATCATGGTCACCTCGAGCCCGCTGACCTCGGCCGGCCGCAAGCAGCTGCTGTCCCTCGAGAGCTTCGCCCGCATCGAGTGCTTCCTCGAGGAGGACCTGCTCGTCAACATTACCCACCACGAGCTCGTCCCCAAGCACATCCTCCTCTCCACTGACGAAAAGGCCGCCCTGCTCAAGCGCTACCGCCTCAAGGAGACCCAGCTGCCGCGCATCAAGCGTGAGGACCCCGTCGCCCGCTACCTCGGCCTCAAGAGGGGCAACGTTGTCAAAATTATCCGCAACTCCGAGACGGCGGGGCGTTATGCCAGCTACAGGTACTGCACGTAGGCTGGCTGGCGTTGTGCTGCTGCCGTGGGGGGTTGCTGCGCGGGGGAAGCGGCAAGCATTCTGCCGAAAGACTCGGGGCAAGACAAGAAGGAAGAGGACCATGGCCGCGAACCGCCATTATCGCCAGGTCGACCGATAGGCAAGAAGTGAGAGTGAGAGAGAAAAGAGAGAGAGAGAGAGAGAGAGAGAGAGAGAGAGAGAGAGAGACGTCGTGCGGCCCCGACCTCCCCATGAAAGAAAGGACAGAAAAAGAAATGGCGGCGTTTGTGTGCTGTTTGGGTTCGGCGTTCAGGGGGACTTAGACTCCATGTGTGTAGGAAAGCTACCTCGATTTTTCGAAACAAAGTATAAACTTGAAATCGCTCTGCGGATCGCTTCTCGGCGTCACCGTCGTCTCGTGCTATGTACATGTCACTGGCTGGCAAGAGTGCGGGCCATCGAGAAAGAACACGCCCGCGGTCGAGCCCTCACTCTCGGGCTCGCAGGGCCAGCGCTGCCGTGTCGGCAAAACGAACACGCACGCCTCGCTGGAACGACGCGCGCCGGAAGTGACTTGTCCTGTTGGACAGTAGAGGCGCATGCCTGGCTCTCCAAGCTGACGCCCGTACCGCCACGTCAGAACGACCGGCAACCGACTTCTGGGGACCTCAATGCGCAGGCGCAGGAATGCTCGTCTTGACCTGACGAGTCAGCCTGAACGCAAACTCAGACTTGGAGACAATTCGAGTTGGCACGGCGAGGCGGCGAAGCGGCTGCAGGTCCTGCTGTAGCCACCATCTTCCTAGACTACACCCATCACGGCACAATACCAGTGATCCCTAGACAAGGCGCCAAACTACCTGCCCGTTCAGCTCAAGTTTGACGACTGACCCAGCACTTTCTGACATGGCCAGGCTAGAGCGACACCACCCAACCCAACCAACCCCTCACGGAAGTAGACACGGCAAACAACGGCACAAATTGTGCCCAACTGGTTCTCCTTCAAGAGTGCCCCGGCTGGGCAGCACACTCGGGTCATCGTGGCAGTCCACATTGCATCGCTCAGAGGCACTTTGTTCATTAAAGTGAGGCAACAGCGGCAGCGAACGCACCACCGCCGACCGAGCTAGTAAAAATAGGGGTAGCCAGCTACTGCCGTAGCCAGCGCTGTACAAACATGTGGCGTCGCAACCGTGCGCCGGGGTATATGCTGTGAAATGACGAATGATAAAAAGAACAACAAAATGCAGTGATGGGGCCGGACGAGGCCCAGCCGTGAACCCTTCAGAACCAAAATCACACCCCGACAGTGAATGGCTGGCGGTTCATCTGGGCCTCCGATCCAGCCTGCAACTCCCTCGACACCTTGCCCACCCCCCCGCCAGGACCCAGAAACCCATGTCGTGAAAAAAGAGTCAATAATCACGACCGCCACCTGGCTTCATAACGCCGTTTCGAGGGTTCTAGCATCTAAACTCCTTCCAAAGCCCGGATATTTCCAAGGTGTCCTGCTGAGCCGTCATGATACATGGGCATAATTGATATACCTGGGATAAGTATGTTCTTTCTGATGTGTGTGTGCGTGTGTTCATATGCTGGTGTGTTCGTGTGTGCGCCTTCGTGTTGCGCACGACGAGACTATATGTTTTCATGCCAAGATACGTCCGAGGGGGACTCATCTCAAAAGGCCGCCAGGATCCATGAGCTGTGGACCCGAGGTAGAAGCCGGATCAAATATGACCATGTCAGAATGACGGGATTGCGGTATGGGCTGCAATTCAGTGCCGCTTCTGGGCTTGTGCCGAGGGGGTTTGGCGCTTGAAGGCCCAAAGAGAACCCCCATGTCCTGAAGGAGTGCGGTTGAGCCACGCCGTTGGCCAGTAGAAGGGGCCGGCAGTGCAGGCGACGGCAGGCTATGCGAGGTGTTTGGTGATAGAGGATCCACGCTCGATATGAAGCTGTCGCGCCTGAAGCTGTCGCGTCCGTAGCTGGAGCTCGCCGGGTCCTGGCCCTCTTCCGAAAGGAGCCCTCCGACATCGTAAAAGGAGACTCTTCGAGGTGTTGTTGTCGAGTTGCTTCTGGAAGAATGCAGGTCACGGTTGATGAGAGGATCATCGCTTCGCTCACTTCTCTCTGCGTGACTCCTCTGCCGTTCAGGAAAGTTCCAGTGTTTCAAGTCTTCGGCAAATCTCCGAGCCATGGGTGCTGGGGTGTATGCACCTCTTCTGACGACGCCATCACCGTATTCGGGTATGTTCTGCAGGTCGGCGTCAACGCCCAGCCCGATGTCGCGGACGAGGTCCTCGTCACTGCCCCAATGACGGTGCAGCGTCGGACGACGGGACCGCGACGTGATCGTCCGCTCAAGGGAGTCGACAGCCACAGATCCATACTTGAACTTCTTCTTCTTGACACCCCTGTCACGGACGAATGACCCGAGAACAAGTGAGTTGGCGGCTGTGGTGGCGAACAAAAGTTCAACAGAAGCCATCAAAGATCGCAGTTGCTGATTCCCGTGAGCGCGCAGAATATTCGGCACGCGATAGCACGTAACGACAACAACAGCCAGGCTCAGGGAGAAGAGAAGAGTGAGCTGGACCTTCTTCTTGAGGCCCAATTGGCTGCGAAGGACCATGGGAATGGGGAAAACGACAAGCAGTAGATCAGTAATGATGTTGCAGGTGGCCATTGTGATGAGTTGTGCGTAGCCCTGGCGACATTGACCACCAGGATCGGGCAAGACCTGCCAGTAATGGGCGAAAGGTTGGCACTCGGCAAAGTTGCTTATGAAGATGGCAATGAATGTTGCGATCAAGGCGACTCGAATGAAGAGCAGAGTCTGGCTGGCATAGCGCTCAGAGGTAGTTTCCGTCAAGCGCCGGAAATACTCTAGAATGGTGTCTTTAAGAATCCACAATCTGTAGAGACGGGTGGTTAGCGAAACACACGTCCGAACATGTTTGTGTGGAGGCGGACGAAAAGGAACGAGGAGGCGAGCGCCAGATCAAGGCGCAGACACTTACGTTGCTGCATATAACAGTCGACTGGCGAGCACGAGACCGCTGGCGATCTGTCGTTGGCGATGTTGTTTCTCGGACAGCGTGACGCCCGTAAAGTCTGCATTGTTGGTTCCGTAGAGCAGGATAAAGTGCACACATCCCATCCTCAAATACATGGGGATCAGAGCCAGCGAAACGACCTTGTCTTCCCTAAACAGCTTCTCGGTTCGAATGAATCGACCGACAACGCGCAGAACGATGATGACGGTGCAAAAAATGGTGATCCACCAACACACAAGGAGCGTCGGTTTGTCCTGGTTGAAGGTGCGCAGTGTCGGGGGGTCCGAGTAGAGAGGCATCGTGGTTATTGTTGTCCACGCCCGTCGTCCTCCGCGGAGGTCACGACGAGCGAGGATGTCACTACTGTGCCGACTGTCGGCGAGGTCTGTCGGGCCTCAAATATCGTGGGACGGCTATTGGTGATGATCTTGGTATACGACAAAAAGATTTTTGCAACAGCGTGGCGGCGCTGGAGAGCCAGTCGTTTCGAGGGTCGATACTATGACGTTGGCGTGGTCCGTGGTATCGCGCAAGTGTCCGATTCGTAATCCCGATGGTTGTGGAGGAGGGAACAGTGCGACATTAGACAAAGACTGAGGTGGGTTCGGCGGAGTCGCGAGAGGCGGAGAGCGCAATCGTCAAGACACGGCGGCACCGGCAGCAAAGCGTCGTAGACAGCTTTCCGTTCGTGATCGTGAGGATCGAATGGCAGTGGTGGGTGGGAAGATGTGAGTGAAGGAGAGATGGGTGGGAAAGAGCCAGCCAGGCTGGTCGAGATATTGCAGCCGAGTGGAGGAGAGCGGGCGAGCGGGTG